TCCAGGTTGGTTTGTGCTGAAGCGGTTTTGAAACAGTTTTCTCTTGGGTCGCTCCTCTCCAATCCCCACTGTCGCAACAAGCTATTCTTCAGGTTTTGGGAGTCCTCAGTCTTGCTGTTTCCTGGTGATCAGAAAAAAGAATGTTTAAAGGAATAGAAAAACAGATTTAATGCAAACTAAATGCCATTTATCTTCAGGCAGATTTCTTAGGATTCACACAGAGATGACTCCTTGAAAAGACGGTATGAGATCAGTGTGCGAGGCTGTGATATAGGGAAGTCAAATGGACAAATTATTAGGCAAGTCTTAAGCCTCAAGTCTAAAACTGCCTGCTGCTTAACAGCTTTTTTTTTTTTTATTTTTAGAGAGCTGTCCTACATTTCAGAGGCTTTTAGTTTTTTGTGGCTTTTTTTCAGGCAAAACTAAGTGTCTTTGGTATTTATTAATCTTTCATTTGACTATTTTTGGGACCACAATTAATTGCAGTAGAGGAGAAGAATCCAAACTGGAAGATTATTCCTACTAGCTAAAACACATAGAAAGTAGAAGAAGGCGTAAGGCAAGCTGTCAAGTAGAGAATGCAAAGGAAACATTAAAGTTTAAACAAAACATTCCCTCTATTGTGCTTAGTGGTTTCTGTTTGGAGACACTGTGTATTATAGATGATACTGATTTAGAGTTTTTTGCCAGTAGAAAGGAATATACTCAGGAAAAAATAATTTCTTGTCAATATTTATATTGGAATAAAAATGAGGTGGAAAAGGAAAGCTGACTGAAACACCCATTGTGATAAATTGTTTTTCAGTTTAAGTTCAGTAAGGAAATGCTTACCGTGCTATTGCAAATGTAAAAATCACACCACTATGATTTCTGTAAAAAAACACAGTAATTTTAACAAATTTAAAAAAGTTAAAGTTTTCCAGTCAGTTGTACTGAAGAGAAGTTATGCTGACCATTTTGCAGCTGTGGGTTTTGTAAATATGTAGGAAAAGATGAATATTTATATTGTCCCTTGTTTTCATACGCTGCTGATGCTTTGTCTTTCCGTTCAGTAACATCTGGGAGCGCCCTTCTCGGCCCTTCTCCCGAGACGTCATCATTCGCTGGTTCAAGGAGGAGCAGATCCCTCGGCGGGCTGGCTTTGAGAGGAACACCAACAGGATTGCTCAGTGGTTCCATGGTAATTCCCTGATCCCTCATTTTGTGTATAACAGAAAGCTTAACTCTGAAAATAACTGCGAGCATCTGCTTGGGAAATTAAACTTGCCAGCTTTCACCTCAAAAAGCAAAGCCTACTGTCATGGTCAAACAATCCTGTTAAAAAAAGACTTTTGCATTTTTTCTACTCTTAGCATATTATTTTCCCATTTTCTTTTTACTAATTGAGTAGGTTAATTTGGGACTCATATCAACAAAGTTTTTTTCAGGAATATTTCAACCAAAATATACTTGCTGTAAAATGGTAACCTACCCATGAGTACTGAGAGCAAGATAGGGTGAGAAGTACTCCAAAATTTAGTGGCAAATAGTGCAGTGATATGGTATGTGGATGACTGCCACTCAAGTTTTTGATTTACCTGATTTGTAAGAATGACTTGAACTCATATATTTTTAATCTTTGTTATAATTTATAAATCAGGGCAGCATTTTTTATTTCTTGCTTTCTTTTGCAAACATTTTTTTTTCCTGAAAAATAATTGATGGTGTATAATTTTTGGCAATTTTCCTGTAAAAAACTTTGGTGATATGAGTCCCATCTCTGACACTTTTGCTTTTTTTGCGTAGCATTTGCTATGCAGCTGAATCTTTGTTATCAAATTCACAGGTAAGACATTTTTCTAGGTATTAGCAATGATCTTTATGTTCAGTATTCTTAGACATAAAAAAAAAGGCTTAACAGCTGACATAATTGAGGGACTAGAATGACTTTAAAGTTAAATCTCAATTTTTTTTCCATTTCTGCTTTTGATGAGTCTATTTCTTTGTTCACTAAGCTGACCCTGATCTGATTCATGAGTCTCTAAGCCTAAGATGAAGATGTGTGGGCGTTCTGAAGTTCTGAAGGAAGATTTCTGAATAAGTTTAGTGTTTCATATATTTCATATTTCTGTTTATGATACACAAATCCTCATGTGTTAGAAGACATCAACAAGCTGCTATTTTCTTTGGCTTAATTAGTCAAAGACACTGAAGTCAGTCATATATAGCTTGTAAATGCTAAATACTTTCATTTCGTATGAGCAATGATGCAGACAGTGTTGTTTGTTTTCTTAGAGAAGAAATTTGGTATGGTTGCTTTCTGAGAGACAAACATTAAAATTTCATTTGTGGGTATTTGCCAAAAGTTCTTCCAACCAGGATCTTTCAATACGATCCAATAATAAACGTTTTCCCTGTGTGGGGAGTTTCCATGCTGTGATAAATTTGTGATAAATCAAATTGCTGTGAGAAGTTATGAACATAATTTATGCTTAAAGTGAAGGAGGTATCTGGGCTTGAGCCAATGCCTGTGCAATCTTTATACTAATTTGGGTGGCTNTAAGTTTTTGTTGTTGTCTCTTCCTTGACTTAAATCTCCTTCTCAGTTAAAAAGGTAGGATTTTCTTAGCTGGTATTGTTGCCTTCCATTAAGAATTCAAACTCTACCTGAATTCTAGTCTTTGGTGTGTGTGTGTGTATGTGTGTGGGCTTTTTGTTTTTCTTAGACCCTTTCATCTTTTTACTAGAAATGTTTCAGCCACAGCTACATTAAAAAACAAGCCCAAACCTACAACAAAAGTCTTGTGTGATTCAGGCAAACTGCAGTGAGATTGATTTTTTTTTTCCTCCCCCTCTTCTATTTTTTAGTTTACCTTGTGGTTTAAGATGTTGAATACTAAATATTCTGATAACCCAGGATTGCTTCTGTGTCTGTCCATCTTCCTGAAGGATAGACTGGTTATATTGAATTTTTTTAGGTAGTGAAGATAAGTGAATAAATATTCTCCTCATAAGAATAAAGAACAGTTGATCTCATATTTTTCTCAAGAAGAGAATAGAGCCATTTTTTAGCAGCTAAAATGTGCAGTCCCTAATTCTACAGAGATATTAAAAATGATAATTTTTTTCCTGAGGAAGCTGCTTGGCTTTGAAATTAGCATTATCTAAAAGCATTGACTATTCAAAAATAATGAATTGTCCACTCAGCTCATGTTTTTAGGAGCTAGGAAATAACAATGGAAGAACAATGTTAGAAATGATCCAAGATAGTAGCATTAGCATTGACTGAAGAACAATACTAGGCTTTTCTTTCTCAGAAATAATAAGAGCAGCCTAATATATTGTTCATAGAATCACATAAGGGTTGGACCCTTAATCTTCATCCTATAAATGTCATAGGATTAACATTTTGCACCAATCTACTTTGGGTTTCCCTTACTTATAGTTTAGGTCAGGTAGCTAGGACAGTAATTCAGGGTGATTTTACTCAAAAAATTCTTACCTGTAGGTTTGTTACCCATAAGTGTATAGTGTTGGTCCCATTATAAAATTAAATAAAAACTGGTTTTATTTGTAATTCAAGTTATTTCAATAATATGAATAACACTTAATGAAGTTCAGTTTTGAGTTTTTTGTGGGCTTCAGTTAAACTGTATGATTTAAATCTGCTTCTTTACTGCCTAAGGGATTTGGGAAAATTCATTGGAAAACAGATACAGATTCCTAGTTCTGCATTTATTGAGCTCCTGTGTTATTGATAATATGAAGGAGGCCAGCTGCAGAAGCAGTCTTTCTCAGATTTCTGTCTCTTTTAAGGCTTTCTTGGAAGGGAACTTTTTTGGCATGTTATTCTTAGCAACATTTTGCAAAGTGACTGTTGTGTGCTGAAGGATCTGCCTTTTCCTCCAGAATGCAGTGATATTAGTTTTTGGAAAATAATATTCCCTGTTTTGGTTATGATACATTGGGACAGTTACTAAAGCAAGAACAGCAATACATCAGTTCCTGGCTTTTAAGGTTCTGTGGATGATGTGTGTAGTGCTAGAAGGCAGCACTTTGTACCTTGGTTTAAGTCCATGAGTACCCCCACAGTAACTTTGGTGGGGGTACTCATGGACTTAAACCAAGCTTTGCTTATGGCCTGAGGGATATCACAGGCTTTGGTGCCACGTGAGAAAATATTTTCTGTATAGTTTTCAGATCTTAGATGCTTACATGTTCCTCATTCCTGTGACACCTGTGCTCTCAAAATGTGCCCTCCTCCTTAGGAATTCCTAAGGTGGGAAAAATTCAGTGAGAAAATTTTGAGAGGTAAGAAGCCCAAAGTTAGAAGAGACAGTGATTTACTCAAGGTAATGCAGCTTCTCTGTGATAGGAAGCAACTGAAGCAGTGTCTCAGCTTCTGGCACATTCTTCCTCTTTAGTCACTTCTGGCTTACTTCATTTTCTCTAGAAAAGAGAAGAAGAGGAAAGACAGAAAGGTGAGGAACTTATCAGGCAGCAGGAAGAAATCCGGGCAAAGGAGCTGTACCTGAGCCTGAAGCAAGCTCAGCAGCACAGTCAGCACAGCGACGATGACCAGGAGTGGGAAGAACAGTGTGAGTAAAACTACCTTCACAGCATTAGTGTATTTCTGAAAGCAGATAAAAGGACACTTGCAGAATGGAGAAGGTGTGGCCAAAAAAAATCCTCTTCTACCCAGAGCAATGCAAAGTGCTGTATTATTCTGGTGGAAATTACCAGCTTAAAATTACAAACAGAAGTTTTGGATTTCTTTCTGAATCTGAGTCGATGCCTTATTGAATTTTTTTTGTGTACAATGACTGAGATCATTAAATTCTGTCTAATGTACTTAATTAACAGTTTTGGCTTAGTAATAATAACTCGGGGCACAGCTATTTTGACAGCTTGTCCTCAGCTATCTCTGAAGAGATAAAATCTGTCTTCATCAGTATTTTAATTGCTTCCATATGGTAGTGGGGTGAAGCTATGATATCAATGCTGAAACTCACTTCATTCCAAAAGATTCCAATAAATCATACTTAGATTGTTGCTCTAAAAAAAACACCTGATGATGATGATGATGATGATCTCACTCTGTGGAAGTACTGTTCCTTTTTAGATAGCCTGAAATTCTTTATGAATATCATAATTGTGATTAATTTCCACTCTTCTTTTGGTGATTTTTAAAAGCCTATAAGGAACAGAACAACTATATTATTGTATAGATGTATACATTAATACTGTAGATAAATAAAGGTCCACATTAGCAATAACTTTCAAAATACACAATTAGTTTATTTTATGGATTTAGTCATCACTTCATTAATTCCTGAGGACTAATTACTGAAGAGCTATTACCTGGAATTGATCTGATAATGAATCATTCTGTACAAGATGAATTAAATCTATATGATACACTGCTGCCATTTTCCAAGCTCATAACAGGGTATGTTAATTTTGATCAATAAAACCTCTGCATATTACACTGTCAATAAAGATAAAGTAATTTTCTGGAGAATTATCTAAATCCAGGCATACATACTCATATGGAAAGGAAAACTATCTTTCTTTATTTTGGGTATGTGAGAGCAGAACAAGTTGGTGAAAAATTAGCCCTTTAATTCTGCAGAAAATCAGCATCAGCTGGCAACACAGCATAGAGGATGGTATTGTGTACTTCAGGATTTCTTTGATGCTATATAAGGAAAGAAAACACATTTCAATCATGTTGTTAGAAAAAAAAAGAAACTGGGTTACCTTTACACTGAAATAAAACAAAATACTACAAATACTACTAAAACCAGGTATCATTTTCTTACTATTGCATTAATGAGGTAACTGATGTTTTAAATTGTTGCCTCTATTTTCTTGAGGAATGCTGTTTGTGCAGGGATAGACATCAAAAATGCAATAGAATAATTATGGAGAAGGGAGGGAGAAAAAGGAATAAGCTATGAAAGGTTTTGACCATGAGTTCTGGAATGGCATTTTTGGTCTATTAAACCCTTGTGACTGCATCACATGCTGGTGGGAGTAGTCTGCCACCAGAACTTTTTTTTGGTGAAAGCTCCTGGGGTATTGTGTATGCTCTGGAGGAATTCTGTCACCTCCAGCCTGTGTGCCTCAGTACCTGCAGCTCTGTTCCCTCACCCTGAGGGTGACCAAGAGCAGCTCAGGTGCTCAGAGCTGCTGATCCTGGTCACCAGAAGTAGCTGCCGGGGCAGAGCAAAAGCTCAGCACCTCCTCTCTCGCTGCTGGGTTTGCAGCCTGCTATAAATTCTGTGCTGCCAGAGTTATGCTGTTAGCAGTAATTGATTTAGCATTAAACTAACTGCAGACTAATGACTAGAGTGTACCATATCCTTGTTTATCCTCTTATGCTTATCTCGGTGTGTCAATTTATCCCTGTTGGTTTGAGGGCTCAGAGCCGTGCTCCATTAGCAAATGGGTGTAACAACTGAAGATAGGAAGATGCAGTGTTTAGTGCCTTATCTGAGACCAGTTGCTGGATGGTTTAGACTATGCTATCAAACTTTGCACTGAGTTTCCTCAGGCATTTTAACATCTTCCATTTCCTTAACTTTACTGCAGGAGCCAAAATGTGCAGCAGATAGTCAGTAACAAATATTTGGAAGTGGGGACTTCTGAAATTGCTATGAAATTAATTAGTACCTCAGGTTCACCAGATTTCTCATTTCTTATTTCAGTTCCAGATATTATTTTCTTTTTTTGGTAATCCTTCCATTTTGTCTGCAAGTATTCCTGTGGGGCACTGAGAGAAAATTTAGTGAAGTTAGGTAAAGCTGTCCACAAGTCAGCTTTTCTAAGTAATAAATAAATGCATGAATGCATAAGAGAATTACAAGCAGATGTAATATTTACATTTTTTGCCTCTACAAACCTGCAGTGGGGATCATATTGACTATTAGGAACAAGGCCAGGCTCCTTTGGGTCTTGCCTCCTTGAAGTGAGCCCTGCCCAGTGTTGCACAGTGCTGCTGGGGAGCAGCAGTGCTGGAGCAGGTGCTGGGGAGAGAAATGTAGCAGTGGTATTGATGACACTACTAATTTGTTTAGTAGATGGAATTCAGCACGTGATGGGGATTCATCTCTCCTCTCACATTATCCCTCAGCTGTTTATTGCCAAGGCAATAAGCAAAGTGGTGCCAATATTATTTTCTGTTGTTCGGTTCAGTTTGCTTCTGCTGTTTGCCAAAGAACAATAATGGCCCATAGAACTACTGTGTTAATTGAAATACATGATTTTAGGGCTTTTAATTATACTAAATAACAAATGTAGAATAACTTGGGAAATTGGTGCTAGAAGGGGAAAATGATTTTGTAAGAGCAATTACACACTTTGATTTCATATAAAAGATATATATTGGGATATTTTAGAGGGCAGCTGTAAGTTAATAAGTCGAGCAGGGATATTGGTTGGCAAGTGAAAAGATGAATAGTGCAAGACTTATTCAGAGAGTCTACTGTTCAAACTCTTATTTTTGAAGCTGAGAAGCAAAACTAAACTTGGATAGCAGAGGGTATGTATTCTCATTAGTTTTGGACATTTTTGTGCTCTGTCCCATTTTTAGGTTTCTAGTTTATTTAAGTGTGACCTCTCTTTGTGAAAGTAAAAAAAGAATCTGTGAAACATGATAGGAAAAGCTGTAGCATGAATATTCATCTGATTGAATATTGTAAAAGGCATTCTGTTAATACACTTACAAAGCCCTGCAAACTGCATCAGGCAGGGAAGTGCTCAGATACCATCTGATCAGCTTTATTCATCTCCAGAAAAAAAATTATTCCAGTAAAAATGTAGACAGAGATGAGTGAGATGATCTGTTCTTTTGCTTTACCCTGAGCACCTACTTTTGGTCTCTCTTGGAAGAAAGATATCAGGCTGACTCATTATAGCTTCTTTTATATTGTTGTGTATTTATGTTCTTCTACAAATGCATCTATGAATTTATTTTTGCCTGACTTTTAAAGGGATTAATTGGGTATTTATGTTCCCCAAAAATTCAAGTGAGTTTACTGGCAGGAGCATTGATAAAATGGTGACTTTCAAAGTGAGTGGTCCCCAGTTTAGCTATGCATTAACTAAGCAAGTGCTCAACCTTACATATATGTGCCCTCTGAACTCCAATAGATCTCACAGTGCATTGTTGAATAGGAATGGGATTATTCACGTGCTTATAGATAAGATTGCTGAATGCTGAAGCCATATTGCAGGAGAAGTAATATTTTCCACTTAGGAAAGGATAAAACCACTGTGTGATTTGTATGTGCACTCAGAAAATCTGAAGATTGAATTTTATCTATGAGTAATTTTCAATAGCTCATAAGCTTCCAAAAAATTTTAATAAGGGGAAAACTAAAACAAAATCATTTTAAAATTCCAATGCATGCTCAAAGCATATGTTTGGGTTTTTTTCACTTTTCACACATCTGACTGTAAATCAAAAAGTTTCTTTGTGCTCTTCAAAAGCACAAAATAGATTATAGGAAATGAATAAGTCCTAGTCTTTCAAAAATTATTTGATCAAGTTCAGCTGCAGTGCAGTATGAATTAATCCTCATCTATATCAAAAGATTTGGTATTAGAACTTCGCCAGGACTGCAAATAGGGATTTCTCAATCCTAAGAAAATATAGAAGAGGCACCTTAGGTTAGCATAGAGAAAGAACAGATTCTCATAAACTCTTCATGGAAAACAATGTTTTCCAAACATGGAAAACAGCCCCTCTAGGAGCCAAAGAGGCCCTGCACACCCAGCTTTGGGGTTTGCTCCTTGCTGTTAGGAGGATGTTCACACTGTGTCACAGAGATATGTCTGAGCTGGCTTTCAACTATTCATTTCTAGCAATGCCAATCAGATAATGATGGCAGCATGGACCTGTCTTGGATGTATTTACCAGTTTCCAGGAGGGTTTGGTCACCTCTCTTTGGCCTGCTGTGCTGAGGCTGCCGTCACAGTGGTACCCATCTCTCTGAGCAGCTCAGACATTTCTACACAAGCTCCAGTTCCATCAGGGCAGAAATTTCTTCATTTTATGAGCACCTGTTCTTGGCATCACCAACTCCACAAGAGAAAACTGGTCTTGGAGCTGGTCTTACAGGACTTGGCTGAACTGTAGATCTCCCATGGGCTTGACAAATTCCTCATTTCCCCATCTTGTCCATCCTTACATTATTCCATGAAATAAAAGAAAGATGTAAGAGTTCATAAATTGTTATTTGTAATTATTTATGCTAGAAATATGGATCTGTGATGGTGGTTTAGAGCTTTTAGGGTTTTTTTCAGATATCTAATTTCCCCACTGAGAATATTGACTGACTACACTACTAGTGTTTTTCACAGGGGTCATGCCAGAAGTAAATTTACTGTAGGACAGCCAGCTAAGAAAAGTAATCTGTTTCTACTTAACTCAGTACTAGAAGTCCTGACTACTTTTTCTTTCTTGTTACCAGAAAGATTACGATGTGTCTTGAAATACAAGGAACGTAGAATTTTGGCTTCTTCTATTTTAAAATATTTGTGCTAGACTTGATCCAGACATAAAGTTCTCCCTCCTAGTGAGATGGTTGAAAGCCATACAGAGAAATATGAATAGTCATGAAATTCTATTGTAAGAAAAACCTTCTACAAAAATACATCCAGATTTACCTTCAGACTTCGAGTGACTTTCTCAAGATAGATAAATTTGTGGGAAGTGTCAGTATGGGAGGATGGTTCATGTGGTAAATATCATTTTGTCTGGGCTATAGTGAAAAACCTTTATGTAGATTCCTGACTGTGATGGCTTTTTCCCCAGTACTATTTCCAGTCACCAAACATGGTTATTGATGCCAGTGACTTTGATTATTTGCTCAAAAAGCTCCTTGACCAATCAGAGATCAAAAGAAACTTAGGATCACCTAGAAACACAGGTCCCCAGTTGAAGCTGTACTAGACAACTTCTAAAGGTAGAGGAAAGAGAAAGATGTTTTTGGGATTAACTACGTGGAAGGAGATAGGGAGAAAATCAGGGGTCCAGCAATGAGAAAAAATGGATTAAGAGATCCCATGCATCCCTATGGTCAATGATACATGAATGGACAATTCAGATACTTCCACTGGGAAATTTCAATAAAAATTCTTCCTAATGAGAAAGAGATGATTCTGTATATACAATCTCTATATGCAGCTTTCCCTATCCTTGTGTATACACAGACACATATACATGCATATGGGTATGTACATAAATGTAAACACATATACATACATGTGTATGTATGCATAGGGAGTGCTGCATGTCATACTTCCAAAAGATCTTCTGAATATTGATATTAACGACTGCAAACTATGCAACCTCACCTCATACTTCTGTGATAAGAAGTACTAAAGTTTGATAGTTTGGGAAAATGTAGTCTGGGTCACTGACTTCTGATGGTACAGATGTGTACCGGATTTGGCTAGCAAAAATACAATAGGAATATCTATTGAAAAGACTGCCAATTATTGAGGAAAGTGGGGCATGAAGATACCTTGCCTTTCTCATTTCAAGGCAGCCAATCATCGGTAGAAAAGAGTCTCAGAAAGCTCCAGGCAGCCCACCCTCAATCTGAATATTGTGATGGTGACAAACAGTTGAGGGTTTCTAGATGTCTTGCAAAGTTGCATCAGTCATCTTCCTTGCAGTCTCTCATAGTGCTGCAAGCAAAAAGTTCATCTTTAAAAGTGACCATTACTGAGTGGCTTTATAAGGGATAAATCACAGAAATACTGGAGCTATTGAAGCAGTATATGCAAATGACATTATCTACCCTTAAAAATAATGATCTGTAAGATAAATAGTGAAGTCTATTATTTATGTTTCCTGTGCTGTGCATTTGTTTATTATTGTGTTTAGCCAAAACTGCAGGGTATGTGGTTAAGTGAAACTGAAATCCTGCCAGTTGTATGCATATGAAGCATCTATGACTCGTTTATTATGCTATCTTGATGAGCTTTTAGTCCTGCATATCTTTCTGCTTATGATAATATTATATAATTCTAAGCTTAAAGGTATTTTCCATTTCCCTCATTTGCCCACAAGGTTTTATTTAATTTCATTTGGCTTTGAGTGTTTTTATTTCTTGATTCCATTAAACCTTCTTAGAATTTGGAAGTTAAATCCAGTTATACTTCTGCTTGCTTTTAACTGGGATTGTAAACCAGAGGCAAGCAAGAAGACAAATAAAATGAAGTTGTCTGGTATTATATCATGCATTGCTAGTCACAGGTACAGTGACAGGGAGTAGGAAATGGAGTGTTCCCTTTATGGACTGGGTATGATCTAAGCCAGGATGGTCATGGCAGGATTGATAATTGCTACTGGAGGCCATAGCTAGCTTCTTTAATATTTGCTTCACTGCATGTTAAAGGTTTGTTTTGCACTGGAATAATTTGCCTGCCTGCAGTTATTTGTGACTCAAAAAAATCATCCAAATGGGGCCTAAGGCACCAGAAAAGAGCTGATAGATGATGAATATTTGCAGTAGAATTCTCAGTGCATTTAAGTTATACCATGTCAAAGACAGGATTGTTGGAACATTAATTTTAAAATGAAGAAGCTTTAGTGACAGATGCCTGAGCTGCCCTGGCCAGAGCAGCAGTCCCATTTCAGGTTACAGAAATGGGTAACTCCCTGGTCAGTGCCACTTTTAGGTGTGTATTCTGTCTTCCAGTACAAATTCTGGTTCTCCATATAAGATTTCAAAGACTAAAGTGTGAGGTAACCCCAACAATTGCATCAACACGCCCTTTCCAATGGCTATTAATTTATCCATTTTTACTGAAACCATTTTTAGACTGTGAATTTCAAATTGGAGATATCTGTGACTATAAGTACAATGACAAAAATAGCATATGCCTTTCAGAAAGCAAACAGCACTGACAAAGTGCAACCTACATGCCAGTTTTTACAATGGTAAATTTTGGGAGTTGAACCTTCAATTCTAGTTATGTTCATAGTGGAAAAGAACACTGTTGGACACATACTTAATTTTAAGCAGTAATTAACATCCCTTCTTGAAACATAGAACTTGGTGCACTTCCAGGAGAAAAGATGTCCCCAAGCAGAATGTCTCTTACTACAGCCAAAAGAAGTGTCAGATTTAATCACAATATGTAGAGGCTCAGTTATTGCCAGTAGTGGTCAGATCATTGATAATTTGAGGCTTCTTCTAGAGGTGGGCCTGTGTTTGAAGCGTCAGGGAAGTCATCCAGTTATCCGCCTTCAGTAACGTGTCGCAATTTATACATTCTTAAAATCAGCTCATATAGGAATACAGGCATTAAGCTGCTCTGTAAGCAGAGGGGCAGGTGGCTGTTTGTCTTTCTAAATCTCTCCTCCTGTCCACTCCGTCCAGTGCGCCGCTCCAAGGCTGCTGACGAGGAGAGGAGCCACAAAGCGCGCAGGGCGCGGGACGAATACCGACGGCAGTCCCTGCGCGCCATCCAGAAGGGAAGAGTGGCTGGCCTGAGTCATTTGTTCCAGGGGACAAACCTGGGCAATGATCAGGAGATCAAAGTGAACAACAACAGTGCGACCCCTTTGCTGTCTCCTACAGCGTCCAGGTTGGTTTGTGCTGAAGCGGTTTTGAAACAGTTTTCTCTTGGGTCGCTCCTCTCCAATCCCCACTGTCGCAACAAGCTATTCTTCAGGTTTTGGGAGTCCTCAGTCTTGCTGTTTCCTGGTGATCAGAAAAAAGAATGTTTAAAGGAATAGAAAAACAGATTTAATGCAAACTAAATGCCATTTATCTTCAGGCAGATTTCTTAGGATTCACACAGAGATGACTCCTTGAAAAGACGGTATGAGATCAGTGTGCGAGGCTGTGATATAGGGAAGTCAAATGGACAAATTATTAGGCAAGTCTTAAGCCTCAAGTCTAAAACTGCCTGCTGCTTAACAGCTTTTTTTTTTTTTTTTAGAGAGCTGTCCTACATTTCAGAGGCTTTTAGTTTTTTGTGGCTTTTTTTCAGGCAAAACTAAGTGTCTTTGGTATTTATTAATCTTTCATTTGACTATTTTGGGAGCACAATTAATTGCAGTAGAGGAGAAGAATCCAAACTGGAAGATTATTCCTACTAGCTAAAAACACATAGAAAGTAGAAGAAGGCGTAAGGCAAGCTGTCCAGTAGAGAATGCAAAGGAAACATTAAAGTTTAAACAACACATTCCCTCTATTGTGCTTAGTGGTTTCTGTTTGGAGACACTGTGTATTATAGATGATACTGATTTAGAGTTTTTTGCCAGTAGAAAGGAATATACTCAGGAAAAAATAATTTCTTGTCAATATTTATATTGGAATAAAAATGAGGTGGAAAAGGAAAGCTGACTGAAACACCCATTGTGATAAATTGTTTTTCAGTTTAAGTTCAGTAAGGAAATGTTTACAGTGCTATTGCAAATGTAAAAATCACACCGCTATGATTTCTGTAAAAAAACACAGTAATTTTAACAAATTTTAAAAAGTTAAAGTTTTCCAGCGAGTTGTACTGAACAGAAGTTATGCTGACCATTTTGCAGCTGTGGGTTTTGTAAATATGTAGGAAAAGATGAATATTTATATTGTCCCTTGCTTTCATACGCTGCTGATGCTCTGTCTTTCCGTTCAGTAACATCTGGGAGCGCCCTTCTCGGCCCTTCTCCCGAGATGTCATCATTCGCTGGTTCAAGGAGGAGCAGATCCCTCGGCGGGCTGGCTTTGAGAGGAACACCAACAGGATTGCTCAGTGGTTCCATGGTAATTCCCTGATCCCTCATTTTGTGTATAACAGAAAGCTTAACTCTGAAAATAACTGCGAGCATCTGCTTGGGAAATTAAACTTGCCAGCTTTCACCTCAAAAAGCAAAGCCTAATGGCATGGTCAAACAATCCTGTTAAAAAAAGACTTTTGCATTTTTTCTACTCTTAGCATATTATTTTCCCATTTTCTTTTTACTAATTGAGTAGGTTAATTTGGGACTCATATCAACAAAGTTTTTTTCAGGAATATTTCAACCAAAATATACTTGCTGTAAAATGGTAACCTACCCATGAGTACTGAGAGCAAGATAGGGTGAGAAGTACTCCAAAATTTAGTGGCAAATAGTGCAGTGATATGGTATGTGGATGACTGCCACTCAAGTTTTTGATTTACCTGATTTGTAAGAATGACTTGAACTCATATATTTTTAATCTTTGTTATAATTTATAAATCAGGGCAGCATTTTTTATTTCTTGCTTTCTTTTGCAAACATTTTTTTTTCCTGAAAAATAATTGATGGTGTATAATTTTTGGCAATTTTCCTGTGACAAACTTTGGTGATATGAGTCCCATCTCTGACACTTTTGCTTTTTTTGCGTAGCATTTGCTATGCAGCTGAATCTTTGTTATCAAATTCACAGGTAAGACATTTTTCTAGGTATTAGCAATGATCTTTTGGGAGACTAAAAAGACTTTAAAGTTAAATCTCATTTTTTTTCCATTTCTGCTTTTGATGAGTCTATTTCTTTGTTCACTAAGCTGACCCTGATCTGATTCATGAGTCTCTAAGCCTAAGATGAAGATGTGTGGGCATTCTGAAGTTCTGAAGGAAGATTTCTGAATAAGTTTAGTGTTTCATATATTTCATATTTCTGTTTATGATACACAAATCCTCATGTGTTAGAAGACATCAACAAGCTGCTATTTTCTTTGGCTTAATTAGTCAAAGACACTGAAGTCAGTCATATATAGCTTGTAAATGCTAAATACTTTCATTTCGTATGAGCAATGATGCAGACAGTGTTGTTTGTTTTCTTAGAGAAGAAATTTGGTATGGTTGCTTTCTGAGAGACAAACATTAAAATTTCATTTGTGGGTATTTGCCAAAAGTTCTTCCAACCAGGATCTTTCAATACGATCCAATAATAAACGTTTTCCCTGTGTGGGGAGTTTCCATGCTGTGATAAATTTGTGATAAATCAAATTGCTGTGAGAAGTTATGAACATAATTTATGCTTAAAGTGAAGGAGGTATCTGGGCTTGAGCCAATGCCTGTGCAATCTTTATACTAATTTGGGTGGCTTTTGGATTACCCTGTTAATCTCTGAAAGAACTGAGACATTCATGATAACTCTTTAATTTCTCAGGTCTTGCTCTTCATATCTTGTGAAACTGAATGTAATGACTTATAAAAGTGAGCAAAATGCCTAATGTTTCCTTCTCTCACTCAAAGAGCCTGACAAAGATAGTTAAGATACACTCCAAGCCTAAAGCTCCGTGGTTTTCTTTGCAGGGACCCCTGAGAGTGCTGCTTTGGTACCTATTTGCTGCATGAGTTATGGCTTCTGCAGGTCTGATCAGATTAATTGTTACAATTGTAAATTGTGAACAACTCAGCTGCCTTGTAACTCTTCTGCAGTGGTGGAATCCAAAGAGGTTATTACAGGTGCAGTAATTAGTGTTTGGTATGGTTATCTGGTGTCTGTGTTACAGCTTGTAATGGACACAAACTCTGAGGAAAACCAAACAGAATCACAGATTATGCTGAGTTAGAAGAGACCCACAAGGATTATCGAGTCTGACTCCTGGCCCTCCTGTTATTTTGTATTTTATTCAGGGAACCAGGAAATTATGTATGATTTTTAATGATTTTTGTCTATGAACAAAATTATAGCAGAATACATTTGACTTGTATAAGAAAATTGCAGCACAAATGAAAGCCATTCTGCAAAGCCCAGAATTACAGCTGACAACTTGAGCCACTGGGGCACCTCAAGCACCTCTCACAACAGCAATAATCAGGTCCTTCACATCCTTGAGCAACTTCTGTATTTTCTTATATCTCAGTTTTGGACCATAAAATGGCAGCTTAATATTCTGCCTCACGTTAAGGGTTTTTTGAATGCGATGGTCTAAGAGTGCTATTGCAGCAGTACTGAAAAAGTAGATACCAGTTTATTACAGAATTACATGTTTTTACCAGGGTCAGTAGAGCTTGGCTTGCCTGCTCTGACTGTCAGGCTGTTCAGCTTTTCAGCTGAAGTTAAGAATTATCTGATTCACTGTCTTCAAACTATAGTATGGATATATAACTCATTCTAGTTATACAGAGATGGAGCCTTGAGACAGATGTATGTAGCTAAAGTAGCAAAGTACAAATAATAATGCGAATGTCTTTATGCTCATATATTTGGCTTATTTTCCACTTTAAGTCATCAAACCAACCTGGCTTCCATTTAAAAATACAGATTGTCTGAGGCATTTTCATGGTACATGAAACAGGGTAACATACGGCCTGCTTAATGTACCTGAAGTTTTCCTTTTGTCTTCATTTGAAGAATCACTACAAAATGTTTTATTTGAAGCAGGGTAGCAAAATCCGTAGTAACAAAAAGTCTTTCAAATCAGAAAATATCTTTCTTTATTCACAAAAAGTTACTTCTTAAATGAATATCAGCTTCAACTTCATCCATCTCTATTTGTCTCTTGAAATTATCATCAGTTATCTAAATTCCAGCAGATGTTTTTACCTCATTTGAAATAGGCTTTCCTGTTTTCTTCATTTAAAAAAATGACATGTTAAAGATACAAACTGTAACATACAGCTGAATTCTGGATCTAAATTCAGTTATTTTTGCGCTGTTGGAATAATAGATCCCTGCCAAAACCCAGTTCATTTGCCCTTCCAATCTAGAATGATGTTTTTTAAGTTTGCAAAGAAAAATATTACATGCCTATTTTCAAATGTTTTTTATAAATTAAACCCAACTTTAATCTAGTCCTAAATAATAAAATTATAATATGATCTTCACTTCATTTGGGTTGTGAAGCAATGAACCTTTTTTTAAAATAGCTTATGCCCACTTTATGGCTGCAGTGCAATTATACTCAGTTCTCAAACTGTTAAAACAAAGAAGAATCAGAGCCAGTGATTAAGGTGTCACCGGGCCTATCTTGGGATTTAATATAATCAGTGTTTATTTTTTTTGTATTGTCTAATAGTTGCCTTAGGTTTGAGTGAAAAGAAATATTCATTTTTTTTTTGACTATGAAAACTAGGAAAGTGGTCTAAATTAAAGGTGAATTCTGTACAATCTGATAACCAGAAAGTTAATAATTGTATTCTGATTTCCTACCTGCTAATTGATGAGTATAAGCATATAAATCAAACTTATATGGGCATCCTAATGTTGTATCAAGTTGTATGAAAGGTTTTTGGTAACTTGAATTAAGAGCATTCTTTGCCAAGATCCCAATTGCTGATATGCTTTGGAAGCAGGGAGGTAAGCTGGTGTTTAGGATTGGAGAGCTGTCTCTCAAATAGGCTGGAAAGGAGGACACATTCCATGTTTCTGCCAAGTTTAGCTTTGAACTGGATTGGGACCCATGCTGAGTAAAGGGAAAGTTATCACTCTTCCCTATTTGTTGAAGAGTTTTGCCAAGCTATCATAGATATTAGCAAATCATAGTTTTCAGTTAATTGCAGGCATAAGACACTTGGGATAGAATTCCATATGGCAACAAAACTAAAGACCCTTCCTCCCCTAAGTATTTAACAATAAGTTGCTGGTGGCTGAAATGTGTATTGTTTCCATGTTTGCTCTTTCATTTGTCCTTTAGCCTTTCTCTTGTACTTGCAATCTGTTTCAGCATTTTTTTTTCCCATTCCAATTAGTTTGTCAGCTGTTAATTTTGAAAGTTTTGATATTTTTAACTTCAGATATTAGATTGTTCACCCTCATGTACTCTGTTCTGCATTTGGTTATTTTCCATTCAGAATATGGGAGTGCTGGACTTTGTAGAGGGTGTTGCTCTCAAAATATTTCCAGCTTTAAAAAATTTTCAGCTTTAGTTGAGAGCGATGTTTTATGGTTGTTGCTGTTTATACACAATATAACAGGGATCTCTCAGGTGTGCAGTGAGCATAGTACAGAACTTATTTATTGCCTGTCTGTGGGTGGCTGTGTGCATCTGCTGCAGCACTATCAGATCTCCACTTGCCTTCAGGTTGAAAGGAAAGTTCAGAGGCTGATATCACAGATCTGGAAACATGAGGTAGTTGCCCTGAAGGCTGTACCTTTAAAATGTAATTGCAGCAGCATGGCTGCTATTGTGGAGACCCATTCCAGCAGGGGAAGTCAGAGTGGTGGTGCAGTTAAGGGAGTTAAGGGAGTGGGGAGCTGATCAGAGCTGATTGAAAGAATTCTAAGAGATGCAGGAGCTGAATAATCTCTGAGGTCAGGGGAGCCAGGGAAGAAAATTTTCAGTTTAACAGGAATGTGTTGCAAATGTTTATAGATCAAGGTTTATCCTCAGATGGCTAATGCCGTTTTCAGGAAGAAACTTGTTTTCAAGAGGAAAGTCTCACACACCAAAAGAGTGATAATGGTTCTGCAAATCAAGTGTTCTCAGCAAAGGAAGTATTTCTGAAAGTCTATTAATTATGAGTCCTTGAACAGCAATGAGGGCACTGGGCATATTCATACAGCAGAACTGTGGGAAATATAACATATAGCTTGTATTGTAATATTTTTTAAAAGGATACAGAAATGGCAGTGGTCTGTTTGAAAAATATCTAACAAGGAATAAAGTTTGCTGCTTTGAGCACAAAAACATGCTTTTTCTTCTGCTCTTGAAGAGGAACCTTCCAGTTTTTCAATAAATGCTTTTAGAAAGATGTAAATCAAGTGTTGTAAATCCATCAGAAGTACACCCTTCTTGATATTAATGATCAGTTTTCTAATTCACTGCTTTATCATTATCTAGGTTCTAAATC